TCTCTCGTCGTTCTGGCTGTTCGACACGGCGCATTGAAGCTTCTCGTCGTTCTTCGCGATCATCAACACGTCTTGTAATTTCTCGTTGACCATCGCGGTCAATAAGACGCATTTGAATGGCTCGGCGATCCTCACGGTCTTCAACACGTCTTGAAATCTCTCGTGTTTCCTGTTGGTCATCTTGGCGCATTTCTATGGCTCGGCGATCCTCAAGGTCTTCAAAACGTCCTGTAATCTCTCGTCGTTCTGACTGTTCATTACGGCGCATTGCAGTTTCCATTCGTTCTTCGCGGTCATCAACACGTCTTGAAATCTCTCGTTGTTCCTGTCGGTGACCAAGATGCATTTCAATGGCTCGGCGTTCGTCGCGGTTATCAATACGTCTTGTAATCTCTCGTCGTTCTGACCGTTCATTATGGCGCATTGCAGTTTCCATTCGTTCTTCGCGATCATCAGCACGCCTTGAAATCTCTCGTTGTTCCTGTCGGTCATCTAGACGCATTTCAATGTCTCGGCGTTCCTCGTGATCATCAACACGTTTTGAAATCTGTCGTTGTTCCTGTCGGTCATCTAGACGCATTTCAGTGGCTCGTTCTTCGCGATCATCAACACGTCTTGAAGTCTCTCGTTGTTCCTGTCGGTCAACACGTCTTGTAATATCCAGTCGTTCTGGCTGTTCATTACGTTCTTCGCGGTCATCAACACTTCTTGTAATCTCTCGTCGTTCTGGCTTTTCGACACGGCGCATTGAAGCTTCTCGTCGTTCTTCGCTATCATCAACACTTCTTGTAATCTCTTGTTGCTCCTGTCGGTTATCAAAGTGCATTGTAATTTCGTGCGGTTCTTCGTGGTTATCCAATTGTCTAATTGTCTCTCTTCGCTCTTGTTGGTAATCAGCGCGGAGTGTAATTTCACGGTTACTATCCCGATTTGAATAGTCTCGAGATTCTGCACGAGCAATATAATCATAATACTTTTTAGGCTGCTGACGCTCTAAACCCGACTGTTTTGAATATTCAATGTTTCCTCGTACCCAAATTTCCCCGTTGCTTGAATATTTGGTCAACTCGCTGTTAAAACATTCAAGGTAATCATCGTCTTGACAAGTGCGTAATTCCTCGCGAGCGAAACTGGTCGCTATTATCAGGTAAAGGACAGTTGCTTGCAACTGCCAAAACCTGAAACCCATTTTATTTATCACGTGGTTCAATATATTCGCGAACTCTTGTGCTTTGGATAAAATTGTATGATGCTTGAGCTCTTGTGTTTATTGCGATTGTCCTTGTCGAGCTGATGGCTTTGACTTGACTGACCTCATGGAAGTATTCGCAGCGCTTTTATACCAATTCCTGTGGATACGCTGCAGGAAAACTCGCAGTGCTGTGCTCATAGTCGAAGATGTGTTCTAATTTCTTCCTTCTCAATGAACTTCATTTCCGCGCTGATTGATTAAATTCGCTTATCGCACATGTGCACCACTGCACCACGTTAACACGCTTCAAACAGTGCGTGAGCGACCACAAAAGGATTCGGTATACCTTCTTATGCCCTCATGGATTTGTGTCGTTGTACTTATTTTTATCGCTTTGTTCTTAAAAAATAATGTTCCTGGTTTATGAATGAATTGCCGAAGCCTTGACAATGACGTCAATGAAGCTTCACTTTGAATGCCAAGGACTTTTTTGTGACTCATAAAAAGTATTGGACGTTAGTGGAGCACAGTAGTTAATTTAGTAATAATAAGTAGTGAAATTCTTGTAAATTGACGAACTTTTAAATAATGGCATTTCGTTTTGCAAATAGATGAATATGCCACTGTACGTTTTGATATATCTCAGGAGCTTAACTTTCAAGAATTACAGTGTTGTAATTATAGCAAATAGATTGTTTTGTTATAGCCGACGTTTATTCAATACTTGCTCCAATCTCCCGTTCTTTCTATGAGAGTCTGACAACTTTGACGGCGACCTACATCTAAATTTTCCGCATATTTCACCAGGTATGTTTTATTGGCATTAAATTTTCTCTAGTGGATTGACTTACAGTGACTGTAATGGCCAATCAGTAGTAACCAAACGGCTCTCTTGTTTCCATCGACTACAGAATCTGTTTCCGTGTTACGGAATATTGAGTTCTTGCAGCATTAGATCATGGTAGTTTTTGTCATGTAGTATTCCAGCTAACGTCAATAAAACCCTTTTTATACAATTTTATTATTTTAACGACGTTTAGGTGTTACGTGAAGCACCTCTATATCCCAAATCCATGATCTGAGAAGCATCCATAAATTTTTCGGGCCGCTTAAGTCTCCTTTGGAAAACAGTTTCTCAACTAACTCCATTACCGAATTGTCTGCACTAATCGCATGTGTCGGACAATAATTTTGGACCCATCAATGCCTCCTCTGTTGTATAGAAAACGTTAGAGAGATTGATTGATCTGTACGTAAGTGGTAAAAACTCGAGAAATGAACTTTCAAGGACATATCATTCCTATCGCATGGGTATGTCAGTGGTTTGGTGGTGAATCGAACCTTAAGTATCCCATCGTCAAACTTCACTGCAATAGAATGATGGTGGAGGAATGCGGTAGTGCGCTGGCGCACTGGAATGCGATTAGGAGTACAAACACAAGGTGACGTGTTCAAATCAGTATTTGTGTGTAACAACCACACCAACTATGGCACTGTATCAGAGAATCGGCATGACTGCGAGCCTCAATCTTGCACCCTGAAATCATAGCCCACTTTGATTTAATTCCAAAATATTTGTATTACCAGGACGTTGAGCCTAGCCCTAACAGTCGCTTTTCTGAGGGATATACCTTGGAGGAAGAAGTCGTTGGAGGATAAGGGTGGTGAGTTTTTTGTTTTTCAGAGGAGATGCATGACACAAAGGTAGCGGTATATTTACTGGCCTGTAACGCAGCCCTATTGTAGAGATGTCTCATCTATACCGATAGTAGGGCAGCGATTGAGTACACTGATTGCGCGCTCAAGACTAGTGAGGGTTGTCTAGATTCCTTATCTCTAGCTTAAGGAGAGCGATACCTCTAGAATTTTGAAAAAATTAAAACAAAATATTTCGCTCTAATCAATTGAAAAACTATTCAGAAATATAGTCCCGAAGTTTCATTGGCTTACTCCCAATATTTTCGAAAAAAATAGGCCACAGAACCACTGCACTTCATGCATTCATGCAGCGTATACTTGTAGTACTAACGGGCCTCCTCGAAACTAACTTTTTTTATCCCGCCGTCAAAATTGCGAGCTATTTATTTAACCGATTTGCTTGAACTAAAGCGTATTTTATAGACAATTTTATACTGAAGTGGGTGATATAGCGCTTTTCACTATTTTGATTTCGAAAAACAAGGACAAAAATTACACCTTTTACAAAATCCAGACCTACATCTTCAATTTTTCGAAGTTCTAAAAACCCCTCTAATATGCAATTGACAAATGCTTCTTGAGTAATAAAAATTTACTTTTTTCATTTCAGATAAGAAGCCTAGCCAGGAAGTTGACGCCGAAAAAAGTTTCAATCAACGCAATCGTTGATATTCCCGCCATTTTTTTTATATAAAATAATTTTTATTTTGTAATTCAATAATACCACTTAATATATATGTAAAAAATCGGATGCGATCTATTTCTATTCTCCCATAATAAAAATGGAAAAAATTACCTTTTTTGACGATACTAAAGGTATCCTCCCCTTAAAGTGATATGTAGAAAATAGCTATGGCTAGGGGAGGTGGTAATTGGGGAATGGCAACGTCTAGGAGCTCCGTTGGCTTCCTGTGGTTTGCTACTAGGCCGAGTGGGTCTTGGGCCACCCCAGCAAGCGTTGATAAATTATCGCAAGGTCTTTCTCGCACAGTGTAAATGCTTAGAAGTCTAGCGTATCTTTCAAAGGTTGTCGGAGTTTTAACTGGACACAGTCCGATAGGGATTAATGCGATCAGATTTAATATCTTAAAAGCTGCATCAGCTGTTTGGCTGTTGACGAGATAAAATCACTGTAACACTTCCTCCTCGATGATCTCGCTTTTGCCGGTTCAAGGCAAGGAAAACACGGATCTCATACTTTTAGAAAGCCAAACAGTGAAAATAGAAATAAAACCAGAGTTCTTTTCATCTGGCTTCACAAGGAAGTGTACATAACAGTCTAAGTGTAATTCCCCATCATGATGAGGAATCAGCTATCTAACATAACCTAAAATATAATTGACAAAATTTAAGGTGTTTTTAACGCTTACGGATACTCAGTTAATAATTTATAATGTGATACATATCAACGTGTGACGTCAGAACGGTTCGGATTTTTTTTTTTTTTTTTAACTGGAACTATTTAACCCTTAACTAATAAATAATTTATGACCCATATTTAGTATATAATATAAAAAATCAACTTACATTATTTGAAATCTATTTGTATGTAGGTATGTATACAGGGTCTGTCCGGAATGTAATAGGACTAATTTACTTCCGAAGCGACTGTACTTCGAAACATGCGCGCACCGACTGGCAAATGAGCAAATCCAAAGTGAAAACGAAGCCCATTGTCTTTTTTGACTTCAAAGGCATCGTCCACTCTGAATTTGTTCCTCCTGGACAAACCGTCAACGCCAAGTACTACGTGGAAGTCCTCAAGAAACTCAAACAAAGGATCAATCCAGGACAACGCCCCGGCTCACACGGCCTTTCTTGTGAACCGCTACCTAACCAAGTCTGGAATCCCAACGTTTCCGCAGTAGCCCTATAGCCCAGATGTTGCCCTCCTGGACTTTTTTTGTTTCCTCGCCTGAAAAGACCGAGGCTACAGAGCAGCATGCGTCTCGGCTCTCAAGGCTATTCCGTAGAATGTCTTCCGTGATGCCTTCCATACTTGAAAATCAAAAGGAGCCCATTTTGAAAGTTTTTAAAGAATTGTAACGATTGGTTCAATAAAAACTTTTTAAATCGATCCAGTCCTATTACTTTCCGGACAAAACCTGTATGTGCACGACATTCATTCATAAAAAAGGGTTTCATTCACATTTCTGTGCATTGAGGAGGCAATGAAGTGGCAAAAATTACTGTACAACAAATTTGTCTTAACATATTTTCAAAATTGATAAAAATAAATTGCCCTTACAAACGTTTTATGACATGTCATGTGCATGACTGCCAGGAGATGGGTCCAGAGTTCGAGTGATAAAAATTTAGTATTTTAAGCTTTTTACTGCCAAATTTCCAACTTTTGCTCATAAGGCGGCTCTCGAAATACAGTTGACGTTTGAAAGCAGTTCAATGCTGGAAAAGTCAGTTATACAAACATTTGTAGGTAGAGAAACTCGGCCAAATTGCTAGCCAAGTAAGTTTCACTTCACTCTCTATTTATTGAATGTTATATTTGTTTTGCAATTTTGCCATTTTTTTAGCCAAACATAAAATTCATAAATTCTTTAGAAAGCCCTTTCCATTTAGAAATCCCTTTCGTTTACGATTCTAACATAATATTGCGCAATATGTGTGTTGGCGCAAGTGCACATTTGTGATAAGAAGAAACCAATCAAAGGAAATTAAATCGAACACTCAATACAGAGAATGATTAATTTTATTTATCGCCGGTTGAGCGCAGCCTGATAGCATATTACTTGACACTCAGTTAGGCGGAAAATTTAAATTCTATTAAAGGATACTCTGCACTTGTATGAGTGTCTACATATGTGGCTTGTGTGCTGAGAGAAAAGTATAAAAGAGCGCATACATTCTAGCTTAGAGCTTAGTGCATAGATTCCGCTCCCACTTGTGTGAGCTAAACTTTTTGTGAAGTCAGTTTCAAAAATTGTGCTGAAGCTAATTGTCTAACTGCAACGTATTTTCGTGGGGAGAGCGGATTTTTGCAATTGAAAATGGGTGAGTTTAGTGATGGTAAATAATTGAAGTATGAAATATGGTTTTTCTTACCAAACGTTATAAACTTTTTAGCACACACACCAAACAAAATAAATTCTTAAAGTTTTGTCGGTTTCGCATTCTCCTGAATTCTTCTTATTCTCTATTAGCGTAGCCACCGCTTACCCGGTTTTAGGCGAGTTTACAACACGCGAAAATCGTTCTGCATTTTCGCTCTTTGATGACAATTGGATATTCTAAGTGTAGAGGAAGAGGAACGAGATCCTCTGCTTCCCCCGGGTGGTACTGTGTCGAATACTTTCAAAGCTGGAATGTATACATACATCCTTTCGGACGACATGACTTAGCCAGCGTAGCCGCTGAACTATGTCAATGTCGTCGTACATCTCGCACAGGTTCCATAAATCTTCCATCGAACATTTCTGTCAAAATCTCGTAACGCCGACTCCTTAGATGTTGTCATCGTCCATGCCTCTATATAGCACGACGGGGACGATGAGGGACTTGTGAAGTTTGGTCTTTGTTCGTCGACTCAGTCTGAAGTAGTTGGACCAGCACCTCCTGGTAAGAATTCTTTCTGCGATTAGATTTAGGCTGACGCTGTTGCTGGTATTAATGCTGATTCCAAGATAGACGAATCTATCTACAACTTCGAATTTAGGACTGTCAATGGGAAATCGGCGAAGAGGTTTTGTGTGTCGATCCTATTTTCACGGGTGTTTTCCAAGACTTAGCGGTCAATTGTTGATTTTCCAGGCCACACTGATAAGGTTCAATTAGTTTGTTGACGGTGGGCTTTAATCTTTCACACAGAACGCTCGACAGAACCTTATATGCGATGTTGAGGAGACTTATCCCACGGTAGTTGGCGCAACATGTGGGGTCTTCTTTTTTATAGATTAGGTACAGCGCACTTAAATTCCAATCGTCGAACATCCTTTCGTCCGATCATATTCTACAAAGAAGCTGATGCAGTCCTGATGATCGTTGTCAGTTTTTCGCCGCCTCATTTGAATAGCTCGGCCGGTAATCTATCGGCTCCTGCCGCTTTGTTGTTCTTCAGACGAGTAATTGCTATTCCTCTGGGGCTTCTACAAGAGTATGCTCCGGTCTTGAAGCCTTCTGTTAGTCGTCGGATCTTTTCGTAGAATTTCCGAGCATTACCCCTGTCGGCCAGCTTGTCAAGCTCTTCGTACTAACATTTCAATCGTCGAAAAACTTCTCAAACTCGATTTTTGAATTAGTCTTTAGCTCTTTCAGCAATTTTATCGTACTTCAGGACATGCATGCCAACACACTTAATAAAAATAACAATTGAACTCGCCAAACCCTCGTATATCTCAATATAATACATCGCAAACTTGAAAATCTTTTTATATTTTCAGAATGACAAAGGCTTACCAAAGGGTGCGAGGCGCCCAAATTCAACACTTCTGTTTATTGCCTTTTACTTATAGTTTATTGTTTTTAGTAAATTTGTAGCGTACAACATTTGTATAAAG